AATCACAGCAGACTTAACGCGTCAAAATATGATTCGCAGATAGAGAACTCTAGAACTTCTGATAAACAACCAATCAGAAGACTGCGCTTGTCTACTTGCATAAGCCATAATAATGTATGTGAAATATATATAAATACGTGTTGATTTTCGTAATAAAACGATCTGTTGCCTGGTCCTTGTCTTCTGTTGTTACATATGTATATACGTCAGTGTTACGTCATTAACGTTCATAGTTAGACTTCAAAGAAACAGTCGACAATATATCCGGTCGAAATTCGGGACTTGAGCAAATAAGTTATGTAGTATCTTTTTAGTAGTTGGAAAACGCCAAAGCTTTTCTGAGTGTAACACTGTAGTGTCTGTCTCATATGTGAAGTTAGTCTGAAGCTGAGCCACTCCATTTCCTATCCCAAATAAGTTTCGAAGTTTTTTACTGGATTCAATTAGTGGAAATTTGTAACAGAAGTGCAGAAAAATTATATGCACTCAACCGTTTTTCCTACGAATACTGCCCGGCAGTATAGTTCATATTATTTACCTTTCTGATATATGAAACGTCGTATACTTGTATATAATATAATTTTTTTGTTTTTTATTCCTTGGCATTCTCAGTGGAACATAGAGCTTCAAGCCTAAGTTTTAAAGTTTTGGTAGTAGAGTGGTTTTATTTTTACAGGGTGGGGTTGTCAGTCTCATATCCAATCCTACCCTCTTTTCCAGGCTTATTACCAGCTGAGTAAGGTTTGGGAGTGCATCGACCATGGATCGTATCCTGAATGACGTGAGTAGTTGGTGAACATTCTACCTCTGTGCCACTAACTCTATATAATTTAAACCTTGGTATAATTAAATGAAGATTATTAAGGTAATGTTGGATACCACTAAACTGGCTTACAAGGGCAGGGAGAAAGTTGACTGCCTTGAACGTACTTCAAGTATATAAAAATAATGAAATCAAGATAAATCTCATACACTTGTTTTATTTTACAATTGTCTAATTATTTGATAATCTATCGTCTCCATTACTGTGATTTGTACTGTTAGTGTGCATACGATGACAGCCGTATCTTGTGGCTTTTGAACGACTTCTCTGTGACTATTCAATTTCTGTTTTACTCCACTTATGCAATGGGTACGAAGTTAGAGGTTAGATAATTCTGTGAGGATATGTGTGTGGTGCTTGCAACCTGGTTGGTGTGTACATCCAGCTCTCCACCTAGAACAGCTGGAAAACCCTGAATCGAAACTTATGGTGTGCATGGACTAAACAGTCCGAAAGGATCGAATGCCGTATGAACCTGTTTTGGTCACCGGACACTATGAAAACGTAGCCCTTCACACTTCTCCACTGCCTTGTAGATCAGACTTCAAGTTAAACGTCCATTATGGATAAGATTTTATTTTGATAAATCACAGTGTTATACAGTTATATTAACTGATGACGTTTCGAGCACAAACTATTGCTCATATTCATATCAAGCCACTCACACGTTTTTCTTCATCTATATACATGTATGGAATTGGCCAGATATTTGAATAAAAATCAATATGTGATAATGTACATTCAGAAATAATAATACGAGTGTTATTGATCCATTACAATTATATGGGAAAAAAACGAGTGGTTTTATAGTCATAATAAATTATTTGTTAGGATGTTGTGATGTGTTTGAATTGAAATAGAATTTAAAGATTATTTATTATCCTCTTCTGATTTGACTGACTGATGGTGATAATATCTTCCATATTTCTGGCATTTGCATTGAGTCATTTCTGTTGCATGTGTTGGGTGTAGACTCGATGAACCAGGATTCAGTAATCAGCTTCTCTCTCCACCTACATAGATTACTTCTTGGAATCTTAAATCTCTCCCACCTTATTCTGTGGTTATGTGTTATTGCATGTAGTGCAATAGCTGAGTTTTTTTCTAAATGACTTAACTTTTCAGGGTCAACCATTCTTCCCTTAGCTAAATTCCTATGTTCTGATAATTTGATTACCCCTGACCTACTAGTGTGACCTATGCAGCTGACCTAACAGTCATTGCAGGGTATTTTGTAAATTATATTTTGTCTAATCCGGTCAACGGGGTCCTTTAACCTACAGAGCTTGTCCTACCTGAGTGATTTTGTAGGTTTGAATGCCACCCTAATTCCTGCTTTATTAAGAATCCTACGTAGGGTCTCAGATGTCCCCTCCTTATATTATATAACAGTGGATGACTTATATTCTTTCTTATTTATATTATTATTACTAGTTCCACAATTATTTTTATTTTTCAATTCAAACACATCACAATATTCTAACAAGTAGCTTATTATGACTGTAAAAACACTCGTTTTATTGATCAATAACACTCGTATTATTATTTCTGAATGTACGCTATCCCATATTGATTTTTATTCCAATATCTAATCGATTCCAGAAGTGTATATAAATGAAGGAAAAAGGTTGTGTGAGTAACTTGATATGATTATGAGCGGCACTAATTTGTGCTCGAAACATCATCAGTTAATATTACTGTGTGACTTATCAAAATAAAATCTTATCCATAATGGAGTTATGCTCTACCACAGTGCCCAAGTTTTATACTTATTCCAAGTTAAAGGTTCGGGAGGTGGTGCTTTACGACAAACACCTGCGTTAGTCTTGGCGTTCAGGCAGTATTGGAGCCCTTGCACAAACTATGAAACTCTTGTGTGGCGCATCTCCTAGTTCTCATGATGTTTGATTTGTGTGTTTCCAAAAATAATAAATAATCTCTGAAGATGTTGCGTAGTGGTACACAGTGAGCTTCTCAAGATACATGCCATAAGTTGGGTAGAATCATATATATAAATATATACATATTATATATATTCGCACTATAAACTGTATTTCATTTTCACCACTTTCAAGGGAATTAGTTTTTTTTCAATGGTTTTACTCCACTAGTGTTCTACTTTCTGGACAACATCGTGTTTTATTTACATGTTCGAAATTTTCCTCGCCAACTTTTGACTATTTTCTTTTTTGAGAGAGACGAAGAGAGAAAACAAAAGCTTTTAAGTAAAAACCATTCTCTTGTATTCAATGCCTGCCTGCCTGACTGCCTGTATTAGTAGTGATGGCAAATATTGGTTTGTGTTTTTTTTAAAAAAAATCAATCGTTAGCACTTGTTTAGGACAGAGTATCAGATCGGATAACTAAGAGAGTATACACACACGCACACGTGTATATATATATATATATATATATATATATAAGCACAAGCGATAAATACGCATTATGGCTATTACGTCATATGAGTAAACTGATTAAATAGTAAATTAGTTTCTTTCTAGTTTACATCATTTCAGAAGAAGAAAAAATAGAGCTTATCAATTTTTGTTTTCATAGAAATTAATATGCAATTTTTTTAATCACTCATATGATGAGAATTATTGTCTGTAAAATTTATCAATAATATAATCAAGAGATTTTAATAATGCGTTAGAGTGTGTGAGTGAGAGAGAGAGAGAGAGGTAGAGAAAAAGCAGTAGATTTACAAAATATGACGGCTATAAACTACTTAGCTTGAATAGTTTGCTTGATATCAGTGTAGGTTGCAAATAAATGTCATATACATATACATATATGTATATGTATATAAATATATTCACTGTTAATTACCTCTCACTACATGATTTATCCAGCTTTTGAAGCAGCCTTTAGTGGGAGGTTACAAATTCGCCCTGTATCTAACATAATCTATGTAGGCGGATAGTTATATGTATATAAATAAATATATATTCTTGTAACAATCCCATTTGACAACCATCTACACATAGTAAACTAATTACTAATCAAGAACAGAATGGTCAACGAAGAGACTCTATTCAACTGCTTTATTAACATTGTGTACAAGCGTATATATATATATATATATGCGCTCCCTGGGGGGTGGGGTGGAAAGGTAAACAGTAGATGTGTAAACACATAACAGAATAATGTTAATTGCGACAAAATATTTATGATGTTAGTGAAACAGCTGGAAGACAAGTATAAAAATAAATTGTGTAGTAGGTAAACCGAGTGAATAAAAGGTTAGACGTCATTCTATCTGCTGATCTTTCTGTGTAGCTAAGCTGGGTAATGTTCCTTGGCTGTTTTGTATAAAACACACATTGGACGATATATTTATCTCTCTCCACAGGAGCAAGTGAATCAGTAAATGCACATGAAATGCGATAGTTTATCTTTAGACTTAGTGGAGAACATTGGACGACAGGAGAATACTCATTTTAATGTAGGAGCAAAGAATATTCTTTTCAAGCTGCTTTATATTCTCTTCGTTAAAGTGTCGACCAGGTGTCCTTTGAACGCTACATTCTTGTATAGCATCTTCTTTGGCACAGAAATGGGGATATTCTTTGTTGGTTTTGAGTTTTTTGTGTTTATCTATGAAACTTGGGGAGAATCATTTTCAGTTAGTGTCTTTATTAACAACTGTCTTCGCTCAATACTGAAGATCAGATGGCCGGAAAGAATCACCAACAAGGAATTATGGGAACAAACAAAGCAAGAACCAATCGCCCAACAAATATGCAGGAGAAAGTGAAGATGGATCGGACACTCGCTGAGGAGACCGCTGGGTGACATCGCGCGCCAAGCCCTCGAGTGGAACCCGAAAGGGAAGCGGCGTGTGGGACGTCCAAGGGTGAGATGCAGGAGATCGTGTGAAGAGGAGTTGAAAGAAGATGGATTCACATGGATACAGGCGAAAAGTATAGCAGAAGACAGAAGCAAATGGAGACGTGCAGTTGAAGCTCTATGTTCCACTAGGAACCCAAGGGAGCAATAATAATAAATCTATCGACTGGAGGTTACAGACTTTTTAGATCGTAATCGTAAGAGATATTATCAGGTTCTGTTTGCAATTTATGGATACAGTTTGTCAATTAGCCGTTCCACGTAGGCTTTCTACATATTACTGATTTGTTCTATGCCTCGTCAACCTTCTTTGTTAGTCGAACGTCCAGAAAGGAGATCGTTTAATTGTAAGTTTGATGGCTAGGTGACAGCTATTAACAACTTCTAGGATATTATTTAGGTCACATTCATTTTCACAAATGATGAAAGAGTATCATCAACATACCTTCTGAACGGAAAAAGGCTGTCAAAAGTCAATTTCAGCGGACCATTTTCCAAAGTTACCAAGAAAATATTTAGTGTTGATGCCATAGTTACACTATCTTGTTCTTTGTAAATAACTTCACTCAGCGTGAATTGGACGTTCAGAGTGCATCCAAGGAGAACTTCTTTTAACCTGAAAGTCGGTATTCCAGTTGTTGTCTTCCAAGTATTTGCATAGGAAGAAAATCGTCTGTGTAATCCGGATATTCCTGAAGAGAGGTTGAACATCAAGTCATCATGGATTTATCACCTACTTTTAGTCTAATACAGCTGGCATATTAAAAGGTTGTAGGAGTTCTGCCAGAATCCTCGATCCTTTGATCAGTCAGTCGCACGCCTACAGAAGATATGTAGATGATACTTTTATAATTTGGTATCAGTAATACTACCTAGACAATCTAATCAACACTTTTAATACAGCACATCCTTCAATAAAATTCACCCTACAACGTGAATGAAATCTGGCTTTTTCATTCCCGAATGTGCTACTCAACTAAGAGACACAACAGTCCGATCCAAACCAACGTAAACTGGATAGTTTATTTATTTTCAGAGCTTTGTCCCACTGGTCCGAAAGCAAAACTTAGTACGTAACTTATGTTCAAGGATTCGGAAGATACGATAGAGACCAAATTAAACTTTTTTATGACACCCTAATGTAAAGTCGACATTCATCTAGATTTATCGACAGAAATTTGTGAAAGACCTTCGTCACTGAAGGTCGCAGCTGTCCTTCATGAGCCTAGAGTTCAAAAGTCACGTTGGAGCAGAAATTCTTAAAAAATGCCTTTTCAATTATCTGGAAAAGACATTTCAAGCAGCCATCTTACGAACCGCATTCTCCATCAGACAGTTGATGCACTTATGCGTTAAGCATAAGATACCGTTTTTGTCCAGCCCAAAGTGTATTTATAAGTTTACTTGTTCCTGTGGAGCAAAGTATATCGGCCGTATATACCGTTAAGTCCACAAATGTATTCTGGAACCATCGTCCAGCCTAGGTAGTCATAGCAGAATAGAACACCAGTATTTCTACCTTCAGACAACTGTTAGCTGTAGACAGCGAGCAGCCCGCATGCTTGCTTCACACTGCTATACACAGTTCCTCAATATCGCACGAAGGGACTTCGAATACTCCATTTATACATAGCTATTCGGGGCCTAAAACGGGATATCACTCGCCCTATCGTGATCAGAGTAACGTTCTTACAACAGTTTTGTTCCATTTTTATCACAATATCTATTCATGTTTATTGATAGCATTGCATTCTTCACAAAAACGTTGTATAATCAGTTTACCGTCTTTCCATTAGCTATTGTCCATCTCACATTTAGATTGACTAGGCTGTCATTAAGTTAAATAGCTGTTTCGTCCTAGTTCTTTGGAACTTTTCACCAGTACGCCCCTACACTGCTGGGTTCAAACCCAGGACGTTCTTCTTACAAGAGCAGCTATCTCGTAGACCATTAAGCCACTGGGACCCGACCCGATGGGCCATGAATTTTAAACTTCTGTCAATTCATGACATGGGAAAACCACTTCGCAATGTCTTCTTTAATAATATAAGTATAAAACTTGGGCACTGTGGTACAGTATAACTCCATTGTAGGTAAGATTTTATTTTGATAAATCACACAGTGTTGTACAGTAATATTAACTGATGACCACGTTTCGAGCACAAATTATTGCCACTCATAATCATATCAAGTTACTCATACAACTTTTTTTCTTCATTTATAAACATGCGTGAAATAGATTAGATATTTGAATAAAAATCAATATGAGATAATATATATTCAGAAATAATAATATGAGTGTTATTAACCAAATACAATCAAATGGGAAATACGACGAGTGTTTTTATAATCATAATAATTAACTTGTTAGAATAAATAAATAAATAATCTCGAAATTCTATTTCAATTCAAACACATCACAACATTCTAACAAGTAACTTATTATGACTATAAAAACACTCGTCGTATTTCCCATCTAATTGTAATTGATCAGTAACATTTGCATTATTATTTCTGAATGTACATTACATTGAATTTTATTCTAATATCTAATCGATTCCACACATGAATGTAAACGAAAAAAGAAAGTGGTGTGAGTAACTTGATATGATTATGAGCAGTAGTTTGTGCTGGAAACATGGGCATCAGTTAATATTACTTTACAACACTGTGGCTTATCAAAATAAAATCACACAGTGTTGTACAGTAATATTAACTGATGCCCACGTTTCCAGCACAAACTATTGCTCATAATCATATCAAGTTACTCACACAATTTTGTTTTTTCATTTATATACATGTGTGGAATCGATTAGATATTAGAATAAAATTCAATATAATGTACATTCAGAAATAATAATGCAAATGTTACTGATCAATTACAATCAGATGGGAAATAAGACGAGTGTTTTTTATAGTCATAATAAGTAACACTCGTATTATTATTTCTGAATGTACATTATCACATATTGATTTTTATTCAAATATCTGGTCAATTCTACACATGTATATAAATGAAGGAAAAAAGTTGTGTGAGTAGCTTGATATGATTATGAGCTATAGTTTGTGCTCGAAACGTCATCACTTAATATTACTGTGTAACCTTATGTGATTTATCAAAATAAAATCTGATCTTCTTTGATGAGTTACTACCTCACCTTCAAACTGCTGCACATTACTGGTCACGGCTTCCCACCAGAACCCCAGGTAACTACCTGAATAGGGCCAGTCAACAGTGAGTTTCAGTGGCATAATGGTCTATGAGCTCGCCTTGTAATCAGAAGGTCTTGCTTGGGCTAGACCCCCGGTGAGTGCGTACTGCTGAAGAGTCCCAAACTAGGACGAAACAGCTGTCCGGTACTCCCAGGTTTTAAAATGGTTCTCTAACCGATGTCACCTCATGATATAATCCTGTAACCAATCAATCAAATCCCTAAAAACCAATACTTGAAAAGACATAATTATTTGGTTACACAGTGCACAGTTTGATTCAACGTAAATGACTGCAGTTTTTCCTATGAAATCTTGTAACCAATCATGTCTTTTTTTCACTCGTTCTCAAAATCGGTGTAAAGTGGTAGTGTGATACAAAGAAATAACCTCTGTAATGATGTACAGAATAATATATCTGTGATACATTTTTATCCTTTAGCACTGTTTGACCTGTTGTTTAACGTTAAAATATATCGAGCAATTTTCCCAATCTTTAGTAGATGTGATTTCTATAACAACAATACTAACAGCTTTATTCTGGATAGCCTGATGATAGCCTTTATCCTCACTCGAGTTCAGGTAACACGGTGATTTAAGCAGGTGGCAGGCTACCGACATAGTGTAAGAATTCTTCTTTTTTACACTATGCTGGGGGTCTGTGGGCGAAGTCGTGCTGCTGGGAAACAGGGATGTAACAGCAGTAAGGTGTTTCCCTCAGATGACCAGCATGACAGCCAGCTATGCTGTCTCTCCACTCTGGTGAGAGGGGGTTAGAAAAGGTCGACCCCAAAAATTGTACATCCCGACTTACCCAACGATAGTCCGTAACCGGCGGTAAGTTTACTAATACGGAACCAAACCAAGAAACCAGTTGATACAGGCCGTGTGTGTCCGGCCTCAAGCGGTTGTCCCCTGGGCTCTGCGGTCACGCAACACTAACCCTCTTTCTGTTTCAGGTACCCGAAGAATCAATCAACTTCCACGGTGTGTAGCCGGGAAGTAACAACCGCCCACACACTTTCAAAAGCACACGAAGCCATCCTGAGCATCATTCTCCCCTTCATTCTAAGCAGGTGGCTAAGTATTGAAACTTAGTAATATGTATATATGTAGCAGTTTATCTTTACAAGTTTTTGGAAAATAACAAATAAGAAATTTGATATGTAGAATGTCACTAATTTAGATTGAAACATATAATTCTTATCATCGAAAACTTATGAATAATCTGATGAAAAACCTGTAAGTGCAAGATGAATATGTTAAAGGTATGCATAGGACTCATGACATACAAATAAACTTCAAAATATGCACATAATAATATGCAATTGATTGAGCCAAAAATGTACTTGTATACTATAACACTTCAGAGTTTCTATGGTGATATTAGAGACCAGTTGGATATGCCAGTTTTCTGTAACCACAGTTTTGACCTTGCAGTCTTTTAATAGCCATTGTAAAAGATGAATTTGTACGGATTGTTGTAGATGCTAAAATAATAATTTATCAGTTACTAAATGGAACAGACTTCGTCGATCAGGTGTCCATGAATAGAATCAGAACTTGTTGTGTATGTCTACATTGTTAAAATTTTACATTTAAGACTGAAATCTGATGATAAATTAAGGTTAACTTAGTACTTGGCAACGAGAAGTACCAGTTAAGGTTGTCACATTCTGTAAAATCACAAATTAGAAAGGGGAGTGAAACGTAACTTTATTTCGATGGACAGTTGTGGTAATGGCGAAAAGAATAACTAGAGGAATAATGAAGAAAATAAAAGACAGATTCAGCGAAGAAAATTTTCTTTATCGACGAAATCATCTTCAGAGGCTGTACAGTCGTATTTATACCTAGAAAAATGTATAGTGGTCTATTATTGAGTAATAGGGGAGGGGGGGGGTGACAATTGGTGTAATTAGTCATAAGTGGCTTTAGAAGTGAAAGTTAAAAGTTGTAAATTACATGGTACTCAACGGAAAAAAGATAGAAGTTAGAAAAGGTTAAAATTGCTCTTGAGTGAGAATAAAGTTATTAGTGTCAATTTAACAAGTGTGAAGGGGGTGTGAAAATATACAAAAGGAGCATATGATAATAGTGAATTAGTTGTTAAAGCAAAGGCAGACTAAAAATAAAATTAAAGATTAAGAACAAAAGAAAAAATCAAAAATATTTTACAGGGAACGATAAGTGAAGAGGTTAAGACCAAGGTAGAATAAGAGACTGGACAAACTTCTTCTGTATACAGAGTTCAGGGTAGTATTGATGTATTGCCAGCGTCTCCGCCATACACAAAAGCCGAAACCTGACGCCCTTTGTATAATTTGGCTTCACTTTGTAGATGATGTTGAAAGACGACTCTGGTGGAGCTACGTGGCCTGAGTTCACCAAATGCTCGAGAATTGAGCTAGTAATTGTCTTGCATTGTCCCTTTGCTAACCATGCCGGATAATGTTCAGAGATGCGTTTGAAAAGCGTGCGCTTTGTGCGGGCGGCCAATATAACTAGCTATATACGAGCAGGTGAATTTATAAACACACATTGAGGTGGCCCAAAGCGGCAGTTTATCCTTCACACATCCGTTGATCATATGTTGGCTGTAGAAATTGATACGTAGCTCAGCCATAAAGAAGGCTTTCCTCAGTGATCTGCATAGGCGATTCTTCAAGATCTCAGCTGCAGTATCACCTTTAAATTCAACACTCATTTAAGACTTTTAACTTTCACTTCGAAAGCCACTTATGACTAATTACACCAATTATGTCACCCCCCCTATTACTCAATAATAGACCACTATACATTTTTCTAAGTATAAATACGACTGTACAGCCTCTGAAGATGATTTCGTCGATA